AAGTCATCAAACCACACAGAAAAAAGCAAGAGAAGAAGAAAGGAACAGACAGGAAGTACAAAAACAGCTGGAAAACAATTAAAATGGAAATAAGTACATACCTACCAATAATTACCTTAAATGTAAATGGACTAAATTCTTCAATCAAAAGACACAGAGCAGCTCAATGGATAAAAAACAAGACTCATCTATATACTGCCTAAAAGATACTCTCTTCAGAAGTAAGGATACACACAAATTGAAAGGGAAAAGATGAAAACAAATATTCCATATAAATGAAAATGAAGAGAAAACTGGTATAGCTATACTTATATCAGACAAAACAGACTTTAAAACAGACTATAAAAGACAAAGAAGGGCATTACATAATGAAAAAGCAGTCAAACAAGAGGATATAAAAATTATATTTATGCATCCAACATAGGAGTACCTATACATAAAGCAAATATTAACAGACATCAAGGGAGAAATTGTCTGCAATACAATAATAGTAGTGGATTTTAACACCCAACTTACCTCAATGGCTAGATCATCCAGACAGAAAATCAATAAGGAAACACTGGCTTTAAACAACACATTAGATCAAATTGACTTAATAGAAAAATACAGAACATTCAATCCAAAAGCAGCAGAATACACATGCTTCTCAAGTGCACATGAAACATTCTCCAGGACAGATCACATGTTAGGCCACAAAACAAGTTCTCACTAGATTTAAGAAGACTGAAATCATATCAAGCATCTTTTCTGATCACAGTGGCATGAAACTAAAAATCAATTACAAGAAAAAAACTGAAAAAAATCACAAATATGTAGATTAAACAACATGCTACTGAACAATCAATGGGTCAACAAAGAAATCAAAGAGGAAATCAGAAAATACCTTGAGACAAATGAAAATGTAAATATAACAATTCATGGGATGCAGCAAAAGATGTTCTAGTAGGGAAGTTCATAGTGATACATGCCTACCTCAAGAAACAAGGAAAATCTCAAACTAACTTTACATCTAAAAGAACTAGAAAAAGAATAAATAAATCCCAAAGTTAGTAGAAAGAAGGAAATAAGAAAGATCATAGAAATAAATAGAATAGAAACTAAAAATCAAATTTAAAAATCAATGAAACTGGTTCTTTGGAAGGGTAAACAAAATTGACAAACCTTTAACTAGACTCACCAAAAAGAGAAGACTCAAATAAGTAAAATTAGAAATGAAAGAGAAGTTATAACTGATATCACAGAAATACAAAGGATCATAAGAGACTTCTATGAACAATTATATGCCAACGAACTGGACAACACTGAAAAATGGATAAATTCTTAGAAACACACAATCTTCCAATACTGACTCATGAAGAAATAGAAAATTGGAATAGACAAATTACAAGTAAGGAAATTGAATTTGTAATCACAAGCCTCCCAACAAACAAAGCCCCAGGACCAGATGGCTTCCCTGGTGAATTCTACAAAATATTCAAAGATTTAATACCTATTTTCTCAAACTTTACCCAAAAAACTGAAGAGGAGGGAATGCTTCCAATCTCATTTTACAAGGCCAGCATTACCCTAATACCAAAACCAGATAAGGATGCCACATAAAAAAGAAAATTACAGGCCAATATCCCTGATGAATACAGATACAAAAATTCTCAATAAAATAGTAGCAAAACAAATTCAACAATACATTAAAAGGATCATACACTATGATCATTGACCTTATAGAAAGAACCCTGGCTTAGGCTATTGTAACAGATTACTATAAAATGGGTGGCTTAAACAACAAATATTTATTTCCCACAATTCTGAAGGCTGAGGAGTCCAAAATCAAGGTGCTGGTGGATTTGGTGCCTGGTGAGAAGGCCCTTTTCCAGTTTGTACCTTCTTGCTATATCCTAACATGGTGAAGAGGATGATCATCTCTCCTTTATCTACTTAGGAGGGCACTAATCCCATTCATGAAGGCTCCACCCTCATGTCTTAATTACCTCCCATAGGCCCACCTCCAAATACCATCACACTGGGGATTAGGGGTTCAACATATGAATTTTACCAGGGGTTTTGGGGCGGGGGGTCACATTCAGTCCTTACCAAATCCTTATTTTAGAAAGAACAAACTGAAAGCCACTGAGTCTGCTTTCCCCGACTAAGTAAATTAGAAGCAATTTAGGCAAAGAATTGCAGACATTAATGCCACCTTTAAGGATTTGAAGGAGGGACGCCTGGGTGGCTCAGTTGGCTAAGCGTCTGCCTTCGGCTCAGGTCATGATCCCAGGGTCCTGGGATCGAGTCTCACATCGGGTTCCTTGCTCAGCAGGGAGCCTGCTTCTCCCTCTGCTTACCTCTCTCTCTGACAAATAAAAATAAAAATCTTTATAAAAAACAAAACAAAACAAAGATTTGAAGGATGTGGGCAGAGGGTCTCTATACCCTCATTCAATTCACCTCTCTGGGCCTTACAAAAATTAGATGGAAAAAGTTCTAGAGACGGACGGATGGTGATGGTTACACAACAATGTGAATGTACTTAATGCCACTGAATTCTACACTTAAAAACTGTAAAAATAATGTATTTCATGCTATGTATTTTTTTTTACCACACACAAAAAACAAACTAGATGGATTATGGCAGAAAACAATGGACTATCTTAATTGCAGCTATTCTGGAGAGAGTTATCCTTTTTTTTTTTTTATTTTTTAAAGATCTTATTTATTTGTCAGAGGGAGAGCACAAGCAGGGGTAGCGGCAGGCAGAGGGAGAGGGAGAAGCAGGCTCCCTACTGAGCAGGGAGCCCCATGCAGGACTTGATCCCAGGACCCTGGGATCACGACCCGAGCCGAGGGCAGATGCTTAGCTGACTGAACCACTCAGGCATCCCTCCTTTTTCTTTAAGACAGCTTTATTGAGATCTAATTCTCACACAGTAAAGTCCACTACTTTAAAGTGTACAATTCAGGGATCATCAGGGATATTGGCCTGTTACTTTCTTTTTTTGTGGCATCCTTATCTGGTTTTGGTATTAGGGTAATGCTGGCCTTGTAAAATGAGTTTGAAAGTGTACAATTCAATACTAAAAATTATATTGACAAAGTTGTCGCTGACCACCACTATCTAGTTCCAAAACATTTTCATCACCTTAAAAAGAAACCCTATATCCTGGCAGCCACTAATCTTTCTCTGCATTTGCCTCTTCTAGCCATATCATATGAAATTACAACATATGGCTTCTTGTGTTCAGCTTCTTTCATGTTTTCAATGTTTATTAATGTTGTAAATGTCACTATTTCATTAATTATGGCTGAGTAATATTCTACTGTGTGCTACAATTTGTTGTGCATTGATAGACATTTGTGTTATTTCCACTTTTTTAGCTATTATAGTAATGATGCTTTGAACAATCATGTACAAATTTGTGGACGTTTTCACTTCCCCTGGGTATCTACCTAGAAGTAGAATTACTGGGTCATACCGTAACACTGTTTAACTTTTTGAGTAACTGCCAAACTGCTGCACAGCCACTGCAGTTTTACATCCCACCAGCAGCCTATCAGGGTTTCAATTTTTCCCCATCCTTGTTGACAGTTGTTATTTTCCATCTTTTTGTTTGTAGTCATCTAAGTTTGTGAAGTGGTATCTCATTGTGACCTTAATATAAATGGCTGCAATATTTTTATTAGAAAAAAAATTAACTCATTCTCTGCCACTTGGTATGTAAATACTAAACTGACCAATGCATCATTCTCAAAAGGAGGATCAAAAGCAGTTCAATTTAAATTGATGTTAGATAGGATTATCATTCCTTGGATACAACAGGATCATATATTCCTGCTCATTATCATGTGACTTGACTCTGCACCCTGTACAAAGTCTGTGTCTCTGCCCTTGACTTTGGGCTTGACCATGTGACATGCTCTAAACCAACAGAATATGAGAAGATTTGACATTTGCCACAAATGAGCAGAAGCTTACAATTCCAAGTTTCCTCTCTGTCTCAATCCTATATTGTCATATCCCAGAAAGGAGATTCTCCTTGAGCCTGGGTCCCACAATGAGAAGACTCATACAACACAACCCCACTCTAGCTGTGTAGTTCAAGCAAAGCTAAGCCTGTCACATGGTAAATACTTGGTATATGAACTAAAATCTTAATGTATATTTTTATGTGCATAGAAGAAAAAGTCTCAAAGGCTTACACTACACTGTTGAAGGTGCTGATTAAATCAATGTACACAGTAATTTTCACCTTTCAGTTTGTTCATTTCCATACTGTTTGAATTTTTTAATGTACATGCACTATTTTCGTAATATTTTTTCACTCCCTTTCTTAAAAATTACCCATGCTGGCCTCCATTGAACACAGACAGCTTAGATTAAGCTATAATAAATTTACTTTTCAAGAAAAAGAAATCAATAATAAAAATGAGTTGATTTAAATAAAGCATCTTGTACATGTGATTACATTGATAGCTCTCAGTGAAAATATAAGCTTAAGATTATTAGAATAAGTAATTATCAGTTCCTACCAATTTCAAAAAAACATTGTAACTACATGAAAAATAGCTTTGTAACTCATTAATTCCACTCTTTGCACCATTATTAATGCAAATTTGCTTAGGTTAAACAAACAGATCTGTGTCATATTTGCTATCCTATATAATACCATCTATCTTAACTAAAACCTCAATTTGATCTGAGCTACCCCCATTCTCAATTTACTCCTTCATTCTGCCTGGGGCTGAAAGACTGCTCATGTATATTAAATCGGCTAACTGTAGGCTACTTGAGGGGCATTCTGCCTGAGGTGGTTAACTTGATCCACTTCATCTATAACCAGTACTATAAACACCATTCCCAGCTATTTTATAAATAGAGTCTTGTCATCCCTTGATCCTGTATATGCTGCATTTCCAGAAAACTAAACGTCAACTTGGAAACAAAATATTCTTTAAGACATTCATTTTAAAAAATGACAAATAAAATTAAACATTAAAATTGACAGTGCTTGTTTTAAAATCATTACCTATGATTTATTTGTGTTTAAAATATACTTGAGAAGTTTTTACTAGATTATTTATAGTCAATGTATAATTTCAATAGAACTTTAAACAATTACATTTCAACTCCATGTAGTATTAACTTTTCTTCTCTTCTGATTCTTGTGCCAATTTCAACTTTTCTTTTAATTCCATCTGATCTCGGTAGTACTGTTCAAATACTGGTTGATAAATATACATCCCTCCAGCAATTCCGAGGATGCTAGCAAAAAGCAGCTGTGGAAGAGTCAATCTCCCAAACATTTTTCAACAAATGCTATACAGTGCTTTTGCCACACCGTGGTTTTGAAAAATTACAGTCCACATCCAGGAAATATCTTCAGATCTGTGTGCAAAGAAAATGGAAAGCAAAGCAGTAACTTAGCACAACATCCTTTTAAAAGATTCCAGGTCACTACTTTGTTCCAGAGTGAATAGTATTTTCGTCATAATATGTAAATATCACTTGATTTAACTAAAATAGGAATATAAATATACAGGGAATATGACAAATGAGGATTAGGGGATGGTGTAAGACAAAGCTAAATCCTATTATAGAATTTTCTCAATGGTTTTAAATAAATAATTCTTAAAATGGCAAAACTGGGGGAGAGGCTGGTAAGAGAAATCCTCTTTACACCTTGACATACCATCATAAAACTAATCACTGAAAGAAACAGCTCCCCCAAAAAGTTGAAAGTGATTGCCAATCCAATCTGGAAGTAGAAGAAAGAGAATTGTTACTTTTCATTATTAGCCCTTTTTTACTATTTCATGTTTTTTGGCAATATGCATAATTAAAAACAATTTTTAAAGCAGGCTAAAAGATTTTATGAGTTCCCTCTGATGCTTTAGAAGGTACAAGTAGACATCAAACACATGAAATAACTTGCCATCCATTTATTTTATTTTATTAGGTTATGTTTATCACCATACATTTTTTATAATATAAAGAAGATTTGACTGATTTACTTTTAACAACTGAGGAGTAAAGACTCCAGTATTTCTCAGAAAGTTATATTTGGGAACACCATAGTCTCTGGAGAAAACAGATGTTTATGAAAGAGGAAAGCAGAGTAACGGATTTACATATTTTCTTATAACAGTCTTTCACCGTCTCCTAGACCGGCCCCGAGGTTACAGAAATCATTAGCGGCAGAACTGATACTAGAAACTGGATTGTCTTTAACATCGCTAAAATGTAATTTAAACTAGTATGGGAAAGAAATGCCTGTTTGCTCTTGGACGGTTAACTAGATAAATGACAGCTTACCAAGAATGCTATGGTTCACCGCCCGCTGAGGAAGGAAGGGAGGGAGGGAGGGAGGGAATCGTAATTATCATTACTATTATCATTACCACTTAAACACCTCCGACCGTTCGGCTGTCGCTTCGCGTCGCTGACCCCGCCTCTCGGCGGCCCTAGCCTAGGGGAGCTCCGGCTCCTTCCAGCAGTCTCCGGAAGAGAAAACAGGGCGCAGAGACCACGAAGCCAAAGGGAGACAGCAACCTCACGAGAAGGATAAGCCAAAGAAAAAGCGCAAGTGAGCTCGCGACAAAGCTTACCAAGCTTACCCGTGCCAAACAAACCTGCAGCACTCGGCGGCACACACAAAGTTCGGGGGTTGTTGTGAGCAAGCTGCCTTTTCCCAGCTACCTCCGCGCCTGCGTGTGACGGCTGCTGCAGAGGCCAAACTTAGGGAGCGGAAGAGAAATGCGCGTTCCTCCAACTGCAGTCTCCCTCATCGCGGGGACTGAGGTGTCAGGGGATCCTCCGCAGACCTCGAAGTAGGTGCAGGATGAAGCAAGAGGGCGACGATGGCCGACTTTTTTTCCGCGGCCTCCGGAACCGCTCCCATGAGAAGATGAAGCTGCGAAAGAGAAAGTCAACTTTGTACCTCAGTCCCCGGAAGAGCACCGAGCGCCGCGGAGGTGAGCGGGTGGGGTGCGGGAGTCGAGCTCCCAGGCGGTGGCGGCGGAAAACCGCGGACCCTGAGCTAGGGCTCCATCTGCTGGGCGGGGTTGCCACGAAATCGTAGTGCACTCGAGACCGGATTCTCCATTCTTGCCGCTTGCGTGGCACTTTGTTCTGCATCAGTTAGTTCTGCCGCGGCCGTGCGGAGCGAGTTGACATGACGTAGCCATCCGCATTTTAGAAAGGGGACACCCGCGGTGGGAGTTACCTAAGGTTTCGCAGCTACGGAGGGACTGATTCCTGGGGTTGGACCAGGTCTGACTCCCAGCCCATTTATTTTTCCCACCCCCCACCCCGGCCTTCTCTTTGGTCCGGTGTGATGATGACAGGAGCAAAATCACCCCAGTAAGTGGGCTTTTGATCTGTCAGACGGGGGTATTTAATATAAAGATGGACTTCTCATTCAATAAATATTTTGCGCCTTATATGTGCGGAGCACTGTGTAAGCGGCATGAAAAAAATGCCGAGTTTCCCTGTGGAAACCTGAAACCGAGAAAGGGGAGAATCATTTTGCTAAATGAAGGAGGATTGTGACGGGGGAAAGGGAGTTGTAGATGAGCCCGAGTTCTCTCGTTCTTTTCCCCTAACCCTTCCGTTGTTAGAAGTTGGATCCCTCTGGGTAAAGGTTAGTAATGATGGTAAATTACCATACGTGTCACAGATATATAGTTGAACTTTTAGGTATATCTTGATCAAGATCACTTGTTCAGGGGCCAGCTCGGAGTACTGTTTATTCTGCACCAGTCCCCAGAGTAAAGGGTTTTCTTTCAGCAGATATAGTTCGGTCGGGGTGTTTCTTTAAGTGCTTCTGAAAGATGAGATGGGGCGTGTGTGTTGTGTTGAATGTACCAATTGTCTGAAAAATATTTAAATGTGTTCCTGGAGAATAAGGAAGGAGAGTGGCAGGAACCTAGAACTATAGCAAAAGGCTCAAAATGGATTAGAATGCAAACACAAATACTCAGGAGGCCAAACAGGGGTCTGAATAAATTAAAGCACTTTCTATTAAAGAACCAGCCAGTTGTTGCCAGTTGAGCTTTGTTGTCAGATCTTAGTGTGAAATGCTGTAATACAGATTTTAATATAAAGTCGGATTTTTAAATGTTGACAACTAAATTCACATAAAAAAAAAACAACTCTGTATTCAGCTTGCAGGCTCTCCAATTGTGGCGAAGAGCAGGGCTATGGAGGCAGCAGATAGACCTGGTTTTGAATCCCGTTTAGTAATTGCAGCCTTTTTGACTTTGGACAAGGCAGTTTAACTTCTTCGTCTCAACTTCCTCATATGTGAATGGGGCCAATACCTACCGTTTAGCATGATGTGGAGGATTAAATGAGATGAGGCATGTGAAGGAATGAACTCAGTGCCTTGCATAGAGTAAGCATCGATAAGGGCTATTTAAAAACATGCAGAGGACCATTTGATATATATAGAAGAGTTGATCCTAAGTTAGTAATTTGTTAGCTGATTTCTTTCATTAGCTACCCATATAGGATATCACCTAATTAGCCTAAGGCCTTAGTTAACTGTATCTCTTTTTCAGTGATATCTTACTATTCTCCTTATACAATTAATTGCAGAAAGACTGGTTAAATGAAAGGAGTGGTGATTTCCCAATGGTGAGGCTCCGGCCCTCATATAACTGTCAACCCAGGTCTGCTTTGAGAGTAGCGTGGCTGGGCCAGAGTTCTCTACTGTGACTTCACAGAGTCTGAGCAAGGCGCCAACCAGAGCAGCAGATTTTAGTTCTGCAAGTGGAACTTGCCTGACTTTTGTGCCACAATTACTTGTTTTGTTTTGTTTTGTTTTTCAGATCTTCTTGGTGAAAACATTTATCTGGTCTTGTTTACCATAGCATTACGAATATGTAACTGTTTTTTAGTCCAGACAAGTTTTGTTCCAGATGAATATTGGCAGTCTCTTGAAGTTGCACATCACATGGTTTTCAAATATCCTTTGTAGTTTCTTTTCCAGACTAGAAATGTATATTCATCTTAGAAATTGTGCCAGCTTCTATTATATATTTTCAATCAATTTTCCATATATTCTCTAAGTAATTTTAACTTATCAAAGTATACCATTATTTTACACTAGTATTTCTTCTACCTTTCTTTGATATTAATATACTTGACTCAGCCTTTAACCAGCAGGTATTCCCATAGTGCTCAGTACTGTGGAGGATATAGATGAAGTAAAAAACACATCCCCTTCTTGAAGAAGTTATGAGTTTAATTGGCCAATTGCATTTTTAATTCAAATAACCAGTATAAAATGCTGTGGTTTTAAGCTTCTTTATCAAAAAAATAGAAATTTTTTATGCACAGAAATCAAATAGATTTTGTTTCAGTGCTATTTAACATTAGTCCTTAATATTACTAATTATGGTTATTTGACCTGGGAATGGACAGAAAGATTGAGGGGTTACACTTATCCCTTAATCTTTGCAAGCATTTACAAGATTCTGCATCTTTTGGGAAAAGATAGTGTTCAGCTGCTGGTAAGTTTAAATAAAAGTAATCAAAATAGTTATTAAAGGTTGATTTATTCCATCCTTTTTAAAAGGCTAATATATATTAACTCAGTGACATTATTGGTATCACAAAGTTTGTTTTTAAAAAGATACTGTTGCTAAACTCTGACCATATCTGGGCAGCCCACAGTTCAAAGACATACTGTGATGTGTAACCCCTCATTGTGTGCTGAAACACAAAACTGAGCATGAAAGTGTCCTACTTCAAGGAATCCTGTTAAGATATTCAGACTTTCAGAATGACTACATTTTATATTAATTATTTGGACTTTAGAAGTATTCTTCTTTCATGAAAGAATCACACGAGAGCAGTGTTGTATCTTGTTTAACTTGTGAGCAGAAGACCATGTTATATGAGCTTATGAAGACTATATATAAACCCATTCAGGATTTAGTGTTGAAATTAAATTTTAGAGAAAATTAATTTGACAAGAATTTAATGATATGCACAATCATTGTGCTATGTGTGTAGTAATTAGGCAGCAATAGTAAGTAGGGTTGTAATTCCCAGATCATGAACTTCCGGGGTCAGTTGCCAAAAGAAGGTACCAAAGAACTAATGGTGCCAAAGTTTCTCTAAAGTCACTCTCAAGATCCTTTAAGCTGTCCTCAGATTAGACTCAGAAGTTTGGGCCTTCCCCATTTTCTGTAGGGAAGTGGCCCAGAATTCTAAAGGCAGTCCAAATCCTGAGGGTTTCTTGGAGCCTGGAAAGACACATGGAAGGATCATGGGGAAGGAGAATTTAGAGCAGTAGCAGAGTTTCTCCCATTGACACGTGTGGAAGTTAGGGGCTTTGAATTCCCTTCTGTCAGGGCTTCTAGATTATGTAGGATAACCATAAAGTCTGGAACCACAGGCAATATACATAATGTCATCAAGGATATCTTATATCCCAAGAAGTAGGTTATATTATGAATGAAGGAGTCTTTAAGATAGAAAACTTCCTATTCCTCCAGGACCTATCCACTTCCCTCAACCTGTAGCTGACCCACCTGGCCATTTTGTGATTTAAAGTAAACCTCCTGTAGTCCCCATCCCCACCCCACTGTCCCCCTCAAATCCTCTGTCCTATCTGGAACTTGACCAGGTGGAGAAACATTAAGATGCTATCAGTTAGTCATTCATACTGTCATATTGATTATTTTAAACATAGATTACATACTTCTGAAACCAGAAGGGGTCAGAGAAGTGAAATAAATAGACCAAGGTCACAGCATATTAAAAGCAGAGCTAAAACTAGATCCTAGGTCTGCTTCATTCATAGCCTGGTGCTCTTACCAGATAGCTTCTCCCTAAACTGCATAAAGTGTGTATACAGAATTAGGAATGGCTTAGAATTGCACCAATATGGTAGCCACTAGCCACATGTGTCTATTGAATATTTGAAATGTGGCTAGTCCACATTGAGAAGTGCTATTAGTATAAAATTCATACTGGATATCAAAAACCTAGTACAAAATAAAAATGTAAAATGTTTCTGTAATTTTTTTATTTTGATGAAATAATAATTTAGATATATTGGGTTAAACAAAATAACTAAAATTAATTTTACCTGTTTGGGATTTTTTTTTATTTCTTAATTTGGCTACTATAAAATTTTAAATTACGTACATGGATTGTGTTACATCTCTACTGGACAGCACTGGCTTAGAACACATTAGAAGAAAGGGATATAGAAGGGAGACCTGAGGGGTGCCTGGGTGGCTCAGTTGGTTGGGCGACTGCCTTCGGCTCAGGTCATGATCCTGGAGTCCCGGGATCGAGTCCCGCATCGGGCTCCCTGCTCGGCAGGGAGTCTGCTTCTCCCTCTGACCCTCCTCCCTCTCATGCTCTCTGTCTCTCATTCTCTCTGTCTCAAATAAATAAATTAATAAAAAAAAAAAAAAAAGAAGGGAGACCTGAATAGGGTGCCACAGTGGGGGCTTTCAATAGTCAGAAGACATGTAAGGGCATCTGACCTCTGGAGCTTAATGGAGGGATCAGGAGCTTAAAGAACAGGAGAATGATAAGCTGCCAACACAATATCATACTCAAGGTTTACCCCTTGCATGTTCCTTCTCTTTGCCCCACCCCTCTACTTTTTATTTCCAAGAGTCATATGCAACTATTATTTAATTCTTCTCAGGTCCTTACTATAAACCTAGAAAATTACAGTATCTTAAAAGTGTGGAGAGACTTCTAATAACTGGGAATTTACGTCTCCACTTATTTTTGTGTTGAGCTAAAATCTACCTTCTTTTATTTTTATTTTTTTAAAGATTTTATTTATTTATTTGAGACACAGAGAGAGCACGAGCAGCGGAGAGAGGGAGGAGGAGGCTCCCCGCTTAGCTGGGAGCCCGACATGGGGCTCTCTCCTAAGACCCTGGGATCATGACCTGAGCCAAAGGCAGACGCTTAAATGACTGAGCCACCCAGGCGCCCCAAATCTACCTTCTTTTAAATTCAAGATTTCTACAAAACAACCCTTCAGAAAGTTTTATTTGTCCAGGATAAACATCTCCATTTCTAAATACCATAATCAGATAATGTCCTTTAGACATCTTATAATTTATTAATATCTGTCTTAAAATGTAGGTCTCCAAATTGAATATAATATTGAAAGCTAGGGTAACTAGTTCAGAATATAGTGGAACCATTAATCCTACAAAT